GGGGGGGGGGGGGGGGGCGCTCAAGAGAAACTACAAAATATTTTTGTATTATATTTAATACTTTTGTATTATATTAAAATATAATAAAATATATTAATGTATTTTAATATTTTAAAATGGAATGGAAATAAAAACACACCATATCGAGAATTGTGGGATGCTGTTGCAGCAGTGTTTAAAGGGAAATCTACAGTAAAATGCTCAGGTTAGAAGTGATAAATGGCCTCAAATCCAAACTTCTACCTTAAGACAGCAGGAAAAAAAGAGCAAATTACACTCAAAACAAGCAGCAAAAAAGAAATTTTAAAAAGATAAGATCAAAAATCAATGAAATTGAGAACAGGCAAAAAAATATCAATGAAACCAAAACCTGGTTCTTTGAAAAGATCAAAATAACTGATAGACCTCTAGCTAGACTAACAAAGAAAAAAAAGAAGACACCAATAACTGGAATAAAAAGGAAACACTGCTACTGATCACACAGACATTAAAAAGATAATAAAGGAATATTACAAATCTCTCTAAGATAAAAAATAAGACAACTTAGATGAAATGGACCAATTACTTGAAAGATACAAACTACCAAAACTCACAAAAGAAGAGATAATATATCACAACCAACTGCCTCTCAGAAATGCAAGGCTGGTTCAATATTTAAAAATCAGTCAAAATAATTCACCATATTAACAGACTAAATAAGAAAAAATATGATAATATCAACAGACACACATAAAAAGCACATGACAAAATTCAACATCCATTCATGATTTTTAAATCTTTCAGAAAACTAGGAAAAGAAGAGAACTTTGTTAACATATGAAGATGATCTATAAAAAGCCTATAGCAAAGATCATATTTAGAAATGAAAGACTGAATACTTTCCCCTAAGATTTGGAACAAGCAAGGATGTCTTTCTCACTATTCGATGTTGTATGGGAAATCCTAGTTAGCACAATAAGGCGAGAAAAAGAAATAAAAGGCATATAGATTGGAAAGGAAGAAATAAAACTGTCTTTATTAACAGATGACATGATTGTCTTTGTAGAAAATCCCAAAGAATCTACAAAAAAAAAAAAAACACCCCACAACTCTTTGACTAAGTGAGTTTATCAAGGTCACAGGATACAAAGTCAATATATAAAAGTCAATATATAAAAGTCAACTATTTTCATATATATCAGTAATAAACAACTATAATCTAAAATTTAAAAAAAATTACAATAGCAAACCCCCAAAAGTACATAGATATAAATCTAACAAAATATAAATAGAATATGTACATAGAAAACTACAAAACACTGATGAAAGAAATCAAAGAAGACCTAAATATATGGAGAGATATACCATGTTCATGGACTGGAAGTGTCAAAATTATGAAGGTGTCAGTTCTCCCCAATTTGATCCACAGATTCAACACAATCTGAATCAAAGGTTTTCTGTAGATATTGACAAGCTGATTCTAAAATGTACATTGACAGGAAAAGGAAGGAGAATAGGCAAAATAGCACTGAAAAAGAACAATGCTGGAGGACTCACGTTACCCAATTTCAAGACTTACTGTAAAGCTACAGTAATCAAGACAGCCTGGTATTGGTAAAAGGATAGCCATGTAAATCAATGGAACAGAACAGAGGGCCCAGAAAGAGACCTTCGCAAACATAGTGACTCGCCCTGACAAAGGTGCCCAGATGACTCAATGGAGAAAGAGCAGTGTCTTCCACAAGCAATGCTGGAACAACTGGATGTCCACATGCAGAAAGATGGACCTCGACTCATCCCTCACACCTTATACAAAAATTAACTCAGAAAGGACCACAGACCTCAATGTAAAACATGAATGTATAAAACTTCTACAAAAAAATATAGAAGGAAATCTTGTGACTTGGGTTTGTAGATACAACACCAAAAGCATAATCCATGAAAGAAGAAACTAGCAAATTGGGCTTTACTGAAATGAAAAACTTCTGATCTGCAAAAGACACTTTTAAGAGAATGAAAAGATGAGTCACAGATTGGGAGAGAACATTTGCAAATCACACATCTGGTAAAAGATTTGTAACTAGACTATTTAAAGAACTCTTAATACCCAGCAGTAAGAAAACAACCACCCTGATTTAAAAAGTAGGAAGGAGAGGGCCGGCCCGGTGGCGCACTGCTACAGTGCGCCGCTTGGGAGCGCGGTGGCGCTCCCGCCAAGGGTTCGGATCCCACATACAGACCGGTTCCCGCTCACTGGCTGAGCGAGGTGTGGGAGCAACACCGAGGGTTGCGATCCCGTTGCCGGTCCCGGTCCGGTACGGGCACGACACTGAGGGTTGTGATCCGTTGCCGGACAAGAAAAAAGACAAAAAAAAAAAAAAAAAAGTAGGAAGGAGAAAAAGGGCAAAAGACCTGAACTGACACTGAATTGCCTGTTTCACACAAAGAAGACACACAGATGGTAGATGAACATGTGAGAGGCTGATGCTCAATGTCACCTGTTGCTGGGGAAATGCCAACTTAAACTGCAGTGAGATGTCAGCACACACCTATCGTAATGGCCAAAATAAAAATAAATAAAAATCTGACAACACCAAATATGCCAGAGGATTCAGATCAATGGGAACTCCTGCTCACAGCTGTTGGGAACACAAAATGAAGCGGCCTCCACAAATGGCAGTTTGGCAGTGTTTTGCCAAACCAAGGCCCACCA